CGTTAGAAAATATAATTAATGTGCATATCTTTCAACTTTTATAAACGACTTATCTATCTTACAACTTAAATGAGTTTAACTTATTGGTTTCTCAAGGTATGGATGGGTCGTAGATGCTTATACTCGTGTTTATACACAGAACGACACAATGACCGTTTTCATTTTAGTAACGACACAAGTAGTGTATCTCTCAACTTTTGTAAATGACAAGTCCATCTTACAACTTAAATGAGTTCAATTTATTGGTTAAAAGGGCACAGGTAGGGTGCGATCGCTTATAATCGTGTTTACAAACAGAACGACACGTGGGTCGTTTTCTTTTCAGTAACGACACTCGTGTCGTTCTATTGATTTCTCATGTATTTTGATTTGTTTCCAACACAATGCCCTCAATCATTACACGCCATAACGTACGTGAGACAAAAATGTTGATTGTATGATAAAGAACGGTTAAAATCACATAGATTATATGACATTGAGTTGTTGAAAGCACAAGTCATCCTACTTATTCATTAGAATATAGGTAATGAGAATATCTCTCAAATTTTGTAAGTCACATGTCCATCTTACAACTTAAATGAGTTCGACTTATTATTTTCAGGGCACGAATGGGGCTTCGTCGCTTATAATCGTGTTTACAAACAGAACGATACTTGAGTTATTTTCTTCTTAGTACAGCACTTGTGTCGTTATGTTGATTTCTCATATATTTTGAATTTGTTTCCAATGTAACCTCAAACATTGGATCCCCCAAAATACGTAACATAGAAAAGTTGATCATGTGATGAAGAACGGTTAAAATGACATAAATTATATGATATTGAGTTGGCGAAAGCACAAATCATTCTACCGATTAATTAGAATATAAGTTATGAGCACATCTCTCAATTTTTGTAAATAACATGTCCATCTTATAATTTAAATGAATTCAACTTATTGATTCTCGGGGAAATGATAAGATGTTATTGCTTATAATCGTGTTTACAAACAGAACGACACATATGTCGTTTTCTTTTCAGTAACGGCACTTGTGTCGTTTTGTTGATTTATCCTATATTTAGATTTAATTTCAATGCAACATCCTATAAATAATCAGCATATCTCTTAACTTTTGTAAATGACATGTCCATCTTACAATTTAAATGAGTTTAACTTATTAGTTCTCGGGGCACGGATGGGGTTTCACCGCTTATAATCATGTTTACAAATAGAACGATGCGGCCATTTTCTTCTCAGTAACGACACTTGTTTCGTTCTATTTATTTCTCCTATATTTTGATTTATTTTCTGTGCAACGCCCTCATGCATTAGACTCCTTATATACTTAAGACATAAAAGTTGATTATGTGACGATTGAAATGATATAGATTATATGATATCAGTTGATGAAAGCACAAGTCATTCTATCGATTCATTAGAATATAAGTAATGAGCATAATTTTCAACTTTGTAAATAATAAGACCATCTTACAACTTAAATGGGTTCAACTTATTGGTTTTTGCGACACGGATGGAGTGTAGCCGCTTATAATCGTGTTAACATATAGAACGACACTAGGGACATTTTCTTCTCAGTCTTGACACTTGTGTCGTTCTCATGATTACTTATATTTTTATTAACGTCAACCGTGCCATTATCATGGGATAACAACAAATTGAAAAGAAAATATACAAGCAACAACAAACTAAAAAGAAATGTACAACTGAAAGACAAACATTGAACTTGAAAAGGCATCAACACTTTGCCGTTCTTATGAGATAACAACAATGCAACTGAAAAAATGTACAATTGAAAGGCTAGCACTTAACTTAAAGGCATCAACATTGTAAAGATGCACATCAAAAGGAAAAACTTCGTCTTGTTTTGATTAGTTCACCTGCATCGACAATAGATCAATACTAAATACCACAAGTTTAACATCTCATTCATAACAATTAAAATTTTAATTATCGTAGTTCCAAAGATATGTAAAACTCCATAGATGGGAATAAGGCTTAATAGATGGGATTATTCCTTCTGCAAAACCAGTAGAACTATGACTTAAAAGTAAAAATTGACCTTCCCATCAAAACAACAATTAGGTCTAAAAATTAGAGTAATCAAACAGTAAATTGGCTATAAAGAATGGAACCCGATGAATTTTTACCTTTGAAAAAAAGGAAAATGTGTTATATGACATTCTTCACAATCATCTAATAGGAAAAAGAAGAAAAAAATCACATGCATCCGTGTATAAAAAACTACATTAGAACACAGCTGGGAAGAAGACCTTAGATTCAAAGTGGGAGTATTGCGTTTTACAAAGGAAGAAGTCGTTAGATTCAATTTGGGAGTATAGGGTTTTTATAGTGATCGAGGAAGAAAAAACAAGGTGAAAATGAGGGAAATTAGGTGATATTTTGCTATTAAATGAAGGTCAATTTTGTCATTTAAAACATTTTGAGTTTTTTTTCTTTTCTTTAGTATTGGTCAAAGGCCATTTCTTCAAATTCATTGTCAAACCCAGTTGTTTGGAAAAATTTCCCTTGAATTTATAAGATGAGGCCATGCCCCTACCCGACCATTCGGGTTAATCAGAAGTTCGACACGATGTTCACTAGAGCCGAGACTCGGGCCGAGCCCCATTTTGGGGCGTCGGCTGGAGCCCAGGCCGGCCCGTGGCCCGGGCGATCCTGCTATTAAAAATATATATTTTTTTAAATAGATTTTTTTAAAGGAGCTGCCTGCAAGCTGCTACCTTTGCAGGCAGCCATTTTTAGCTGCCTGCAAAGACAGCAAAGGCTGCCTGCTGCAGCCTTAAAAAAAAAATCGAAAAACTCGAGTCGGCTCTGCTGGTCCGCTAAGGCTTTGGTAGAAAGCTCGGGCCGAGCCTAAATTTTTTGTCGGGCTTTGTCTGTATAAGCAGTTTTTCTTTTAAATATTTTTATGATTATAAGTGTTAGGTTTTAATTGATTTTGTGATTGACAAATTCTGTGGATAAAAGGACTTAATTTGATAGAGTGTCAAAGTTCAAGGATTTATGTGCATTTTGTTTAAAAGTTAGTTAAATAGGTCTAGGATTTTGACTTTGGAACAGGAAGGAAAACGGTGCGGATTTTTACTGAACTGCCGCCAAGGGTTGGCTCGAGCTACAAAAGCAGAAACACTATCACTAGACCGTCGCCCCTTCTTCGCTCGAGCGACAGGCTGTCGCTCGACTGTCACTAAACCCTCGCTCGAGCGACAATGCTGTCCAGAAAATTTTTATTTCTTGATTCCAAAGCTTTTTACGAGGCCTATTGACATCTTGACCTACCTATAAATATCAGAACTCACCTTTACGATGAGAGAAACAGATCAGAGAGTGATTCCTCCATATCATATACTTCAACCTTCATCTTGTGTGAGATCATCTGTCAGAAAAACATCAGATCCAATATCCAAATACCAGAAACGAAACTTCCTACATATTTGTCAGAGGTGCTGAAGATCGAAGAAGGCGACTGGAGTTCCCGTCTGTGAAGAACGGGTCATTCTTCGTGATCCACGAGAGATAAACGAATTCATAAGGCTTGGAGTGTTGTGGGGTAGCAGATTCTACGGAGAGTTTTGGCAACAACAACTAAGGATTGGTGCAGGAGAGCTGTAAGGAGTGCAGTCGAGTGATCGGATAGTACGGGTCGTCTAGTCTGGTAGATTGTAAGTTGTTAAATTCGTTTATAGTGAATTGACCGGCAAAGTGCCCGAAATTTTTCCCAGTTGAGTTTCTCCGTGATCATTCTAGTATTTGATTTATTGCTTTATATTACGAATGAATGATCTGTGGTATTTAAACTTAAGATTAAATTGATTGCATGATTAATCATCTAGAGATAATTAATTCGAGACTTATTGCTAATTAGTTAATAAGATTTTAATTCCGCATATTATATCTATTCACCCTCATCTAGGTGTTGTTAGGATCGAACTTGCATTTCTCACTAAGTTCACGTCAAAGATTTTTGCACAAGTCTCCCAAATTATTTGAACCGCATTCATGTCTACTTATTTTTATAATAATTCATTATAATGTAGAAGCAGATTATAATATATTTTATCTATGCACTAAGAAATAGGCATGTTCAAACTTCAATTGATTTAACTAATTTAAAAATTAAGAAAGATCAGATGTAAGGATATTTAAAATAAAATATAGTCTCCCGAATGAGAAGTTTATAATTTAAATCATTTTCGAAAAATTCATTGAGGAAATAGGTTAATTGTTTCCAAGATAAAATAAACTTTGTCGCGGTACGAAAACCTTACTAAACTTTAAAAATTCTAATTTTCCTCTACATTTCGTGAACAACACATGAGATTTGAATAAAAGTAATTCAGAAATCATATTTTTATTTTGGAAAAATATAAAAATTGTTTATGTTTTGTGAATTTCGGAGTGGCCACATTTGTCAATGAGAATGTAACGAAGTGTGACTTTTTAATGAATAGTTAAGAAAATATAACTTTATGTCTATAATATTTTTCAACTTTATCCAACTTTTTTAAAATTTGATTTTAGGCATAAAAACCCAAATTTCCGGTTCTTTTTCCCATTTTATAATTTATGTTTAATTACTTGGAAGTTCAATTTCTTAATTACTTGAAGTTCAATTTACTTGGCCTCACAAGCATCAATGTCGTAGTGGTCTAGTTGAAATTTGGAAAAAATGACTCTCAAGTTCACACCCTTAAACATCATTTTTACAAATGTACCAATGTTGGAATTCATAAATAACGATAAATTCAACTTCCCCCTTTTGAACGAGAAAAACTTCTTTATTTTGATTTGATAATACAATTCAAACCTCAATTAAGTTATGATTCCATAAAAAATAAAAATAAAAAATTCAACATTACATGGAAAAAGAATTATATGTAAAACACTAAAAAAATTCAAAATATTTCGTGTCCCACTGCTTCCAATAAAGAATTAAAATAATGGAATTAAAGAATAGATGTATGTTGAGTTCCATGAGGAAACTAGTGGCCAGCTCCAGGACTTGGACCAGAATCCTTAACTCCATGTGTGTTGGCATTAGTAAATTTGTTTCCTTCACCAGGGCTAGGACCAGAATCTTTAATTCCCCCAAGTGTTTTCGCATTATTAAATCCATGTCCTTCACCAGGGGGGCTCGGACCAGAATCCTTAATTCCTCCAAGTGTTTTCGCATTGGTAAATTTGTGTCCTTCGCCAGGACTCGGACCAGCCTTTACACCATTCAATGACAAATTATAATTCGAGGCACCATTGAGAGGACGTGCCTCGACTGCAAACAGGATTGAACAAAACAACATAAGGATGAGAACATCAAAGAAACTAAATGATTTCATTCCTTCTGTAAGAAAGAGGACTGCACAAGAACCAGATATATGTAGAGAGAAAAGGAGAGAGTTAATATTTGTTGGAAGTTTAGAGCCTGGGGACTAATTTATAATGCAATTTTTCTTGACTAGCAAGGGACGAGGAGACTGCAATTTGCAGTGTCATTCAAAGAGAACGTGGGAATTGGAATATTTAGAATGGAATGGAATGGAATGGAATGAATTCTCATACGAACTTGCATGCGAGGTTCATGAGCAAAGAAATTAAACCCCCGTTGCGGCTCCATTTTTCTAAAATTATAATAGGGGAATGGTAATTTTTTTGGAGAATTGTTAAAAAAAGAATAAAGCTTCTTCAAGATTAATTGGTTGACATGGAGTTTGACACTCCATATATTTTCAAATGCAAATGGACGGGAAAGTGTATTTTATTTTAAAACTGTCAACTCATACCACAACACGTGACACAATGTCAAACTTGATGTCAAATGAAGTGTACATGTAGCATGATTGTTAAAAAAAGAATTTTTTTTTTTAAATTTATGTGTAATATTATTTTAATGGAAAATATGTGATTAAGCCCATGTTTGGTACATATTCTTTCAAAACTCATTTTCAACCACACATTTTTCAATAAAATAATATTTTTCATCACTTCAATAACTTTTCCATATTTTTTAACCACATATTTTCATCATATTACTATTTAAAATACATTATTTTCTCGATAGTATTCATCAAACACACTCAAATAAAAAAAAAAAAAGAGGGAAATGAATTTTAATTTAATGGCCAAACTGGAGATAAGAGATTGCGAGTCTAAATTGGATAGCATTTGTTTCTAATTCAGATCTCGTCATGGAAATTCTTCATTTTCGTGAGGTTGAATTCTATTTTAGGACCACGAACTTACACATGTTTGAATTCAACCTACCTTTGGAAATTGGAAAATCTCTATATTTCCTATTCTGGTCAAATTGTCAACGTGTAATAATGCTGGGCCTCCAACACAAAGTTGGCCGTCCGATTTAGTCTTCCAATTAACAATTAACACGTGTAGGGTTCTTAACTTGTATTTGAATTTCAAAAGTATTAGCCGTCGTCTTGAAGATCAGATATTACAATACGCAAAGATCAAGTAGATAAATGTTTACAATTACTCATTTATAAAAATTATATGTACATTAAACCACTGGTGGAGCTAGTCCCCCTGGACCCCCAAATTGTTGACAATTGTTTTTTTTTATTTTAAAATTTTATTTTTTTTGGTTTTTTTGGTATTTACCATTATCATTTTGTTCTCAAATTGAATAATAATCTTAAACCCTACAAATTTCATTTTTCGTTTCCGTCTTCGAAGTATGAGAACTCAAAAAAAAAACACTTGTAATAAGGTATGATTTTGCTAAATTAAATATTGATACTTTCTTTTATATGTTTTTTGATTTTTTTTTGAAATTTTCGTACATTAATTTATGTTCTTTTGTTTTTTTTCTACCACCAATTTTATTTTTCGTTTCCGTCTTCAAAGTATGAGAACTCGAAAGGAACATTTGTAATAAGGTGTGATTTTGCTAAATTAAATATAGGTACTTTCTTTTATATGTTTTTTGATTTATTTGTTAAGAAGGTATTCAAAAAAAAAAATTCGGGGCAACCCCCACGCCTTCATCTCTATATCTTCAATTCTGGAACTCTCCTACTTCAAACGGCTGGCTCCACCCCAGCATTAAACGTGTTCCGAAGATTATATTCATCAGATAGATAAACGCGTTCCTCCTTAGATAGACTTTAGACCAATGATTTTCTTTTTGATAAATGATTTTTTTAATGGAATTTTACAAGTTCAAAGTTTAGTACGAACGTAGTATCTGCTATAGAACTTTGAAAATTTATTAGTTTGAAATACTAAATTGCAAAAAAGTTGAGTTTTAACTCCCTTAGTCAACTTGTGGAATTAGAATTGTAAAATCTGTGGAACCCATTTACCACGGTGCGCTGAATCCGACCTGGACTTTGACCCTTAGATGTATAGATGGAGTAGCCAAGAGGCAATAGACATGATCCCTCTAGGGGTCATGCCCAATAGGCTGAACTATTTAAAAATGTTTATGACGTGATCTGCTCTACCGTCTATTTGCATAGTTTTGCATGCAATATAGGATTTTATATAAGGCCCAGTCTACGATGGATTAAATTTTTTTACGGTAAATCAATTTCCATTTTCAACCACACATTTTTTAATAAAATAATATTTTTCATCACATCAATAATTTATTCTTCTTTTTCAACCACACATTTCCCATCATATCACTATTCAAAATCAATTTTTCCCCAAAAAATCTCTCCCAAACAAACTCTAAGTATTATAATGAAGTTAAAATACTAGTCCTATATGAACTTTTTGTAAAGAAATAGATTAGTCTAAGATACTCCAAAAATCGATTTCTAGGATCACGTGCAGTTTACTTTTACTTTTAGACAATAACGATGTCTCACTTGGACGAAAATAGTCCTCGATCGTATTAAGGAAAAACTTAAAATCTTGTGAAACTATCTTGGAGAACAAAATGCAAGATCAAAAAGCAAGCATAAAATGTGATAAATAACTTTCAACCTCACTTTCTGATTTCTTAAATTCAAGAGTCAGAGGAACAGTATCTTATAAGGTCCCATCAAGAACAAGCACACGCCGCCCATAGCCAATCAAGTCAATCTGTTGACGTTGAAAATTGTATAAATAAAATTCAACCCAACTTCAAGTGTAAATAATGATTTTTATTGATAATTATTTACAAACTACAAGTGTTTTTTATCAAAGGAAACATTTGAAATATGAAGTTGTTAGGCTTCCTCTCCTTCCTTCCCTAATTAAGGATACCGTCCTCCTTTTTATAGGAAATGATGAATCTATATTTTTTATATTTCCGTCTTGTCAACAACAGTACCGAGTTAGGAACTTGTGCTAATGACTTAAGTTCTGATTGGTAGCTGTCAAATCAACATATAGGGTATGTTTGATACGACTCAAAATCCAATTAAAATTGAAAATATAGCCGTTATTGGGTCCCACTCATCTAATAAAAGTCAACAATAACGGCTAATTTTTCAATTTTAATCCGATTTTAATCTCTACCAAACACCATCTTAATAAAAGTTGTTTATGGCGTAAATTGAATACTAAAAATAACACAAACCAATCAAATTAAATTTGATATATTTCATTGTCACAAGGAAATAAGCTAATAAAAAAGATACATCAAATTCTCAGATTTGGGAAAAAGAAAAGAAACTTTTATTTCAAAGTTCTTAAATGTTTTATTGAAACTTTCGAAGAGAATGTTAACTTTTCGAAAGTGTGGGGTTGTTAGGGCAGAAACTCATAGGGCATGGTGGGGACGAGGATGGCGACCTCCACTTGACCCGGTCTATTCTATAATGCTAAAGAAGAAAGAGGAAAGTGAATTGTATTTCTTGGAAGATAAAGTAGGAAAGTACTATACATAAATTAGGCAAGATATTTTATAAATTTCGATNCCACTCCAGTTCAAGTTCAAGTTCAAGTTCATCAAACGATAAAATAGGCGGCCATTTTCAAGAAACACATCGACTGTATACTCAAGTTTCGGGCCCTGGTGGAAGAGGATTTGGCCACGGAAAAATTTCATTAGTAAGACATTATGACATATTTCAAATCTAAGAAATAAAACTTACCTTTTCAAAAATCATTATTAATTTAAATTTCATTTATTAAATAATTAATTAAAAAATATTTTATTAATTAAATATATTAGGGTCACAATATTATATAATTTATGGTCACATTTATGTATTAATCACAATCACAGACGCCATAGTCACATACAACAAATTTTATAGATCACAATTATTCTCGGTCACAAATTAAATAAATTAATTGGTCATATTTTTTTTTGTCACAAATCAAAAATTTTATGAGTCAATTTATTTCATAATCACAAAATATCAAATTAATTAATCACAAATTATTTTTAGGTGACACATTACCAAATTATTGGTCACATCTTAATATTAATAATTTTTTAGGTCACACATTATTTATTAATCACAATTTATCTATTTCATTGATCACGTATTTTTTATTGGTCACACACCGACCAATTTATTGATCATAATCAACAAAACAATACGAACCACAATGCCAACACCGCACCCACATCACACCACAATCGAACCACACAAAAAATCTGTCGGCCACCAAAAACGAAAAAAGAAAAGATCTGGAATGGAGCAAGAAAGAGGAACGCGCAACAACAAATGATGATCAATCAACAACAACAACAGATCGCTCAGTGATGTTGTCAGTGGGGCTCTACGACAATGGCTTCTAGCAACGGCTTCCGGTGGAATAGAGAGAGAAGAGAGATAATAGAGAGAGTGAAATTAATTTGGGTCTTGTGTGGGTGGTTGGGTATAGGTTAGATGGGATTAATTAAATATTTTGTAATAAAATTATTAATATTTAAAATATCATTTATCATCTGATTTTGAAAAGAAAACTAGTAAATCTTAATTTTGAAATTTGAAGTTTTAAACTCTGGTCTATTGTAATTTCCACTTTGGCCACTAGTGAAGTCTGATCCCGTTCAATTTTATCGCTGTTGTAATATCTTATGTGAACCGAATTCAAATTAGTTCTTTCTATGGCATGTATTATCTTCACCACCTACACTCTAACAAGCATCCTTTTTTCTTTTTTTTTTTTTTTTGGAATATGCAAAAAGAGATGACAGTAACAGAAAATAAGAAACATGCACTTACCCTACTATGCTGAAGAGGCAAAGATGAAAACAAGTTTCTATTCAGCTATCATGTGGCTTAATCGATTTTCAATTTGGGAGTATACTTACACTAGCATTTACTCGGCTATCATCTGATAAACTATACGAGATGTGGAATAGTTCATCTTCACTAAATGGAATGATTTGAGCAAAGGATCCACAATTTTTTCTAGCTTCCCCTGCTTTTGTCAGGGATTTCCCAATCAGCCAAGTTGATTTGATATTGTGGAATCAAATTGTTAATGGCTGGTCTTGCACAAAGTACATCAAGAAGTACCACCTCAAAAGAGTACACATTGAGTTTTTGTAAGTTGTAAGCATGAAGCATCTGAAATACTTGGGACTAAGATATTTGATGCTGCCTTTGATATTAGTGCTTACACGAGTTTGATCAAGATGACCTCTTCGCGAAAGACCAAAATCAGTAACTTTAGCCGCATAGTGTTCATCAAGAAAGATGTTTGTTGATTTGATATCCTTATATTGATTCCAAGATAATTCAGAAAGCGAAGTAAATTTTTTCGATTCTTCTATCAAAATTTACAGATGACCTCTTAAAGTAACTTTCTCCGTAAACTCACAAACTAGTATAATTTCAGACCTTTCTTCAAAATATCCAATCAATGAAACAAGATACCAGTAGCGAATTTTGGAAAAAACCATTATTTCAGTTTGAAACTCAATAAGGCCATGTCCATTTTGCAATCCAAAGGTCGATGATAGATTTGTTACATTGAATAAGTCAAGGACTAAAAATGCAAAATTTCCCTATATTAGGTCATAGACTCGTAAAGCAGTTTGATTATAAAATTAGTGTTATTTATAATTATGATGGGGAAATAAAGGTGATGCGACACTCTGTGTAAAATAATGAAATTTGGTAGTTCGATTTTAATGAGAAAGAGGGGGGGAGGAGAGAGAGAATTATGAAGAATAATGAATTGTTACGTCACCGATTTTACATCGTCACGATGATAAATAGCATATACTCTTGATTATAAGGCAAAAAATTCAAGCCCAAAACTTTTCAACTTTTTAAAGGTAGCCAAACATGCACTTTGCCAACAATTTTAAAACAACGAATAATATCACGGCGTTCAATTCCCACTCTTGAATCACCCATTGGTTAGATACTTAGATTGACGCTTTACAGCAATTTGTCCTTTCCTTTTCTTCTCTCAGTTTTCGCAGCCGCCTAATTGATTCATTCCCTCCTCGTTTCGGAGTATCAGGTTCATTCTTTCTTTGCGTCTCTCTATTAATTCTTATCGGATCCTGCGTTTCTGTTGATCATATGAATTCGCAAAATTTTTTATTGGTTTACATCAACCGATATATAAAATTAGAAAACATCCGAAGTAAAGCGGGATAAAGCCACTAATTTTCAACTTTTATAAGCAATCTATGTATGGATAATGAATTGTTAGTTTAGTCGTTCAAAAGAATGCTACAAGTCTCAGTTGCCACGAACACATTGCACAAAACAGGTGAAAAACTATCAACTATTAAAGGTCTGCATTTGTCACAGTTAACCTATTAGGCACCACAAACCCAGTGAAAGCTTTTCCCTTGTAAATTTAGCTTCTCAAGCAAATGAGCCTAATGGAAGCGGCCATGAATTATTTATAAGAATTAGACCAAAAAATGTTTTGTGAACTGGAAAGGGCTAAGATTAGAGAAAAATATCTAACGAAGTGATAGGATCATCATCCCCTTATAGAAAAGTGCCACCAAAAGAAAGAGCTCGTGGAAGCATTATGCAATGTGATTACATGATATAATTCAATAGTAAACAAATTTCATCCAACAAAACTTCCTTTAAATAGCATCCTGAGATTCCCGGAGGACTCGTTTCCAAAAGCTTGCATAGGTGATTTGGTCTCTGTCTTGTCCCTCACTTTCCATTTAAGCTGGATCCCCATCTGTGCAAGTGTTTTGACTATGCACAGGCACGGTTCGGGTTGGGTCAGTTTGGAACCAACTTGAAACTGAAACCGACTTGGCCGGTGTAGGTGAATTCCAACCCAAATCGACCCAAATCCCCCTGTTAAACTGAGCTAACCCAAACTGAATCCGTTTGGATTGTTGGTTCGGCTTGGTTAGTCGGTTTAGGCTTTTGCCCAAATTGGAGTAAAAAGATATGTTTAATCACTCAAAACAACTAAACAAAGCAATGAATGTCATTAATCCAAATTCCATTTGCAATGCGCAAATGTAGTCTAGACCCATCATTTAACATATAAAGAACACCCTAAAGGCAGTTCATAACCTAATAGAAAAAATTCTACAAGGAAAAAAAAACCCCAACTACAACAAGATTAATAAATACAATACCAACAAAAATAGTAATCACCAAAGAGGCTAGAAGCCGTAACAACATAGTAATCAACCATCAACAGCAGCATCAGTATCAAGTAACCAGCAGCATCAGTATCAAGTAACAAAATATTTCTAGGTTATTTGCACAAACAACAACAATAATATTAACCATAGAACTGGCCATCGAACCAAGGATACCTGCAATGATACATGGCAAGACTTGAAATCATATTTTATTGTAAAGCTAGGGTCATATTTGATGCAAGTTATCTTGAGCAAAACATGTGTATAACTCCTTTTTTGATCACTGACTGGATAACAAAAGGATGAATTTAACTTTTTAAATCTCAAATTTCAACTAGAGTTCAATAGATAAAAAGGAAGGTACCGCTTAACGTTAGAAAACTTGTGGGGAGACTTACCTTTTTAACTTGATGTTCTGTAGTTGTACCAATAAATGAAATTAACAGCATGTTTGAGCCCCATTTTTGGTGTAAAATACATTTTGTAATAGTATATTGATAAAGAATGTGTAGTTAAAAATGAAAGAAAAGTTTTTGGGTTGTGTATAATATTATTTTATTGAAAAATGTGTAATTGAAAATAAGATATGAGAAAAATGTATTTTGAAAAAAATGATTATATTAAAAAAATTTAATACCTAAGGTATTTACAAATACCTGAAAGTAGTTCAGGCAATGGTGAAAAGATCGTTGTGAAGTACATTGCGTGCTTTGCACATCGCCTCGAGTGGCACAGCTTTGGGCATTGTGAGCCCTGTCCCCTCCGTCAAGTCAACATTCTTTTCATCAATCCTTTGCCACTCAAAACATTGTATTAAAGATCCTAAGGCCAAACCGACCACCCGTTCGGCAAGGCTAGAACCTGGACACGACCTCCTTCCCATTCCAAATGGCATCAATTTTGGCGGTGTAACTTCCCCAACTTCAAATCTCTCTGGCTTGAAGCTTGTGGGGTCATCCCAAACCATGGGATCCCTGTGAATTGCCCAAGCATTGATGAACAAAATCGTGCCACGTGGAATATCATAATCTCCAATTTTACAGTTATCAGATGATTCATGTGGCACGAGCAATGGTGCTGCTGGGAACAATCTAAAAGTCTCAGAAATAACGTTTTGCAAGTAATGAAGTTTGGGCAAATCCGATTCCTCAATAAGACGATCATTGCCCACAAGACGGTCTATCTCAACTTTAGCCTTTTCCAACTTTGCCGGGTTGTTGAGCAAAACTGACAAAGCCCATTCTATGGTCACTGCAGATGTTTCTGTCCCGGCAGTTAGCATAACCTGTAATTTGCAAATTCATATACCATGATGAGCTATTCCTTAATTAAGATGCTGGCTTTGTTGTTCTTATAGACCATGCTTAAGTCATGATTCAAAAGGACTGAGGATAGAGGATGGAAAACTTACCATTATTATTCCTTTGATGATTGTATCTGAGTAATATTCTGGCTGGGATTCTTGCCAATAAAGCAAATGATTAATCATACTATTTTCACTCTTGTAATGACGGTGCTCATCAATCAGACCTTGAAAGAATGCATCCATTTTCTCACCTAACCTAGCTGAATTTTTCTCATAACCTCCGTAGTCGATCCATCTAAATAATGGAAGAAAATCTCCTGGATTTGACACTCCGCCCAGTTCAAACACTTCACCAATAAGCTCCCGAAAATGCTCTGACTCCTTGTTGTCCTCATCTTCTCCAAAATATCGCTTCCCAGTCACCATTCTCATAATAATATTAAAGGACAACTCTGTAAACATAGATTTGAGTTCAACTTTTGCAAAGTCACTATGTGTATTTTTGTAGAGCTTTTGCAACAGAAGTTTGATTTCATCTTGTCGTATGGATAGGAACATGCTGAGGCGACTAGAAGAAAATATTTCAACTGAACTGAGTCGCCGGAGATTGCGCCAGTGCTCACCATATGGGGCAGTGACAAGGCTAGTGTAGTTATAGGCAATATATTTACCCATGACAAAACGAGGGCGGTTGGCAAACACAATATCATTCTTGGTGAAGCATTCCTCAGCAGCAGTAGACGATGAGACCACCACCACAAGGCGGGTGCCAAAGCGGAGAGAAAAGATTGGACCTAGTTTTTCAGAGAGGCTATGGAGGGTTCGGTGCAAAGGTTGTTTCAAGAGGTGCAGATGGCCGATAACAGGAAGGGCGGGTAGCGGGCTTGGTGGAAGTTTGCATCTTGGCGTTGACCAAAACTTGTAAGCCAGGAGTACAAGAAAAAGTGAGAAAGATGTGTATAGCCAAGTCGATTCCATACCTGAATCTTGATTGATGTATTCTTATGAGCTGCCTGCCTATATAATTTTGTATGGATCAATCAATTTGGATGGCATCTGTAAATAGCGCTTTGGGGTGTATCACGGATTAATTTATCTGTAGCCTTTTTTTTTTTTTTTGGTGACCTGAAGTTTTCCACCTAACCCCTTTCTGTATGGGTTTTAATGTTATGTCCGCTTATTTTTCATATTTCAAATCAATGGGGTAAAATGATTTGAATAAATTCATGGGATAATAGCAGCAAAAGTCCCAAACTTTTGAAACAATATCAGACTTTTCTCAAGCATTTGATTTGTCGTAACTGTCACCCATAACCTTTCAAAATGTTGCAGGTGAAGCTATTTTGAACAGTTTCCATCCATAATTCCGTCAATTGAACAAAAATTTAACTTTGATCACATTTTAAATATTTTATAAAGGGGCAAAAGAGTAACTTTCCATTTATTACATTAAATAATTAAATAAAAAAAGAAATAATATTGAAAAAAAACACACCCCCCCCCCCCCCCCCCCCCTCTTGGTTAACTATTCTTTGGCTATCAAGCCTCACTATTTTGAAGAAAAATGATTTGAGGTTGCAACTTCGAAGTACATCATTTTTTGTTAGAAATATACGGGTCGTGGGTCGCCCATGTGGGATGACCCGACGCACAAGTTATTAAAATGGTTGGAGGGAGTGGTTTGAATTTGAAGTTCAAACATGCAACTCTATATAACCACTCTTAACTCCCATACAACCTCCAATGATTGTCCATTGGAAAAAGAGGGAAAAAGATGACATGAAAAATGAAGGAAAAATTCGTATGAAAATTTATACAAAAATTGGAAAGTCCTTAAAACACCACCCCACCTCAAACCCAAAATCCACACCGATGGGGGTGGATCGTTTATGAAGATATTTTTTCTGAGTTTCTCAACCATGGATCTAATAATAAGATTAGTGAAGAAGAATGAAAATCTTCCGAGGAAGAAAAGTGGGAATAAAATAGTTGATTAGATTGAAAAAAATTTGGAGAATAGAGGACTAGATATATGTATGTATAGGAGGATGAGGAAGACCAAGTGCCATGGGTGGAATTTGAAGTAGATTTGCATATTATAAAAAGGAAAAGAGGGCATATTGTCTTCGCTAGTTTTCCATTTCAGGCAGTGTTAAAAAGCTTGCAGACGGGATTATTTCTCTTCTGGTTGACGGCTCTTTCCCATCCTCCTCGAATTTTATTGAAATTTATGCCCATATAATAACTACATTCTTTTCATAAGAGCTCACATTATTTTGTTATTCTTTCTCCACTCTACTTTCTGCTTTATACAAGAAAAATTATAAGTGTTTTCTGCATAAATTTTCAAGAAATTAGAAATTTTAAGGAATTCACTCAAAATTTTAGTGAAATTCAGAGTTATCCTATCTGGGTTTTGTCTATAAGATCAATATTTTGTTCAAATCCAACATCTAAGCACAAAAAGTTTTCATCGTTTTGTCATTCACTGTAAAAATCGTACTAGAAATAAAATAAGCAATTCACTGAATATGAATAGGAATATAGGCGACACAAGTGTGATTGAGGTTACAGAAAGATGATAATGATGAGTATAACAATATTTATCTTTGTTGTAGTCTTTGCCTTGTAGGCGACACAAGTGTGATTGAGGTTACAAAGAAGATGTTAATGGTGATTATAACTGTGAATAAATTCTTGATTAATCTTTCTTTTATTCTTTTAATGGGGCATTTGGGTTTGAGTTTGCGGTGGAAGTGGAGGTGGCGGTGGTTAGTGTGGATTTTGGGTTTGAGGTTGGAGTGAGTGAAGGTTGAGAGGAAGAAGACATCGTTTTGTGTGTGTGCGCTTTTATTTCTTATTTTTTTATTTAATTATTTAATATGATAAATGAAAAGTTCCACAAGGACTTCACCTGCATCATTTGGAAGAGTCAGGGATGGCGGCTGCAACAAATCAAAGATTTAAAAAAAG